CGGCTCAAAAAAGCGCGGGGGTTGGGGGGGCAGCTGCCCCCATTTGCAAACTCTTCTACCTTCATTCCTCGATTTATTCCTCGCTCGCTTCCTTGCTTCCTTCCTTCTGCGCCCTTCCTTCTGCTTCCTTCCTGCCTTCCTTCCTTCCCCTTGTTCCCTTGCTTTTTGCCAGTTTAGTTTTTTTGATCCTTATTTAATTTCTTTTTGATCCTTATTTAATTTATTTGATCCGTATCCCCTGTCTGCGATCCAGTTTTGTGCGCAAAACTCATACCGCTAGAAATCGAACAGAAAGGGTTTCCGGCTTACATGCACACAGAAACTCATGCTGTGCCGTGGTCTGCAAATATGGGGGCTTGCCCAGACAACATACCCTGTATGGATAGATGCGACACGCTGTCTGCTACACGAATATGATCAAGAGAAACGGATTGTGGGCAACAACTCCTTTCCACCGTGTCTTTGACGTGATCAGTATCGCCAGGTTGCCTTGGCCAAGCTTGCCTTCCGCTAGTTGCTGGTCTTGATGTGGCTAGCTTAGGATCCACGCAGGGGGGCAAGGGCCCATTGCGAAAATAGATCAGTATAGAACACCCAATGCGGAATCCTCTTCATGAGCGTGCAAGTCCTTACAGTTGGCCGGCGGGCTGTTGCCTGAAATCAGCAAGCCGAAACCGAAGACTAGCACGAAGTTGATAGGAACTCAGCTAAGCACACCAGATTGACCCAACCCCGTCCAGAAGTTTGTCAAGATGGAAACGATTCCGCAAAGGCCTCAAAACTGAGCTCTGAGCATGGTTAGTGGCATCAAATCCAGTGAAGACGAATCGGCAAAGGAACTGTCCGGCCTTTCCTGACCATGCTTGGCTTCCAACTGCAAGGCCGTGACAGACAGCATGTCGTGACGACAGCATACCGCGATGTTACGAGCTAGCACTCCCAGTCAGCCTGCACGGCGCCGCGGTGCCAGCTCTACTTCAGCTGCCTGTGCCACAATGGTGGAAGGCAACAAATTCGCGTCTGTCTGCAAGCTGAAGATGGGGCATGAAAAGGCGGGCGGAAGAAGGTTCCTAAACAAGCATTGCGCTAACGACTTGTTAGCCAAAAGCTAGGCGCAGAGTGCGCTTTTTCGTCGAAGATGCTCTGCCAATTTGCAATTTGCAACACTATGCCGGAAGCCTGGGGCGGAGGTGGCAATGGTGGCACCGGCCTGACTGGCGAATGCTGGCATGCTGCCATCGACAGACATGCCCACCGGCACAAACCCTGTTTGTCGCGATGCACTACATGTCTGGAACGGCTGGTCTATGGCCGAACAGAGTTGACTCGGCCCCTGCTAGGCCTCTCAAGCCCAGGTGGCAATGTTGGGGCGTCGAATGGCGGGGGCACTGGCCTCGGGAGTGGTTTCGATGCAAGAGCGCACCCGCCTGCCCCTCCACCGACAGCAAACTATGATCGGCGGAGTGCATACCAGACTGCAGGTTGTAAGCCGTTTAAGCACAAAAGCCGTGCCCTACTCTGGATCCGTCTTCTCCTAAACATGGGTCTGACATTCCCCCAAAGTCTGCCAAGCAAACCTGAAAACCTCTGCACCAGGGCACCAGGATGGAGTAGAGAAGGTTGGAGAGAACGGTGCCGGCCTGCATGTCAGCAATTGGGAGGCAGGTGTAACGGCCTGAGGATGGATAATCAATTTGGTGATTGGAGAGATCGAAGAGATCTCTTGCAAGGTGTGAACACAAAAGCAACAGTGCTCTTAGAACCGCAGACTCCGCCTCACTTCTGGTGTAGTGCTCAAACAGGTGAATCGTCCTGCACGTGCCTGGCACCGGCAACGGAGAGCAACGGCCGGGGCTTCGGCAAGGACTTTTTTCGATGCTTAGACTGTGCGGCACACCTCGGAGGCTGCCCAAGCCGCGAGAGCAGGCAGGCTGGAGCTGACGCAATGCCTAACATGGACTCGCGTGCGATCCAAAAGACTTCTTGCATTCGTGGTCCTCAGCGCGCGGCTCGCGGGTTGCGTCTGTGCTGACTTCAGGGCTCTTGGACCCAGTCTTTGTCTTCACGTGCATCGGTGACGACGACGACGGAGCAGTCATCTCCTTCCATAACAAACTGCCAAGGCCCGGCTAGCATGGGTCCATGGGTGAGGACAGCCAAGTCCAATGTTGCAGAAACCGTACATGCAGGCGCATGCAGAATGCGAAATTTGGCATTCGCAGGCACTGCCACAAGTGGCAGCACGTCAGATCAAGTTAGCACTGCGCCCAGATCAGCCAGCCCCGTGGTCCCGTTCCAAACATCATCTCAAGATGTCTGAAGTCCTTCCAGCACGTGGGGATCGGCACCTTGCAATTTGGCCGGGGTTCCAGGCTCTGTGCACGGTCCGCACGCTTAAGGCAGGCTGCTCATGTGTGGTGCATGACAAGATCCAGCACAATGCAAATTTCTTGATGTCCATCTAGGAAACATGCCAAGCTTGGACTCCTTTGACAGAAAGCCTTCCGATGTATATATGTCACACACGGAGGGATGCACAAAACTAAATGCTGCTCTCCTGCAACTCTGTCCCACACTTGTCCAGCACGTCAAAAAGTATTTCGACTCCGGAACAGTCCTCGTTTCTTAAGCATGCCTTCCCCTTGCTTTGCTTAGGATTTTGCACAGGGCATCCATCGAATCCGAGACAATTGTCTGAATGCCTTCATGGGAAGCAGATCCCGCCAGGGAGTGCGAGGTGAATCGGAAATTGAGGTAGCGGAGCTGCCTTGGCGAAATGATAGAGCCAGCTAAGGCTGCAGCCACGATATGCATCTACCACAATCTTGGCAGCGTCAGACAACCAGATGCTCATCCACGTTCGTCTCATGTACTGCTACAGCACCCATGAGCCGCAGTGAGAACAGCAACAGGCTCGTGTCTGACTGCAGGCATGTCTCTGCACATTGGCGTAACTTCTTCATGCGAAACCACAACCTCATCTGTCGTCGTGCTCGGCGTCGACCTGGCACGGTCAGGAAAGATGTTGCACTCTTCCCGCCAACTAGGACACCAGCCTGCCGTGAAGCTATTCGGAAACAAGGGCACTAATTGCGTCGAGTGGCTCCATGTCTTCCAGCTTGATCACATCGTAAGACTTCTTTTCATGTGTCTTTGACTTTCCTGCGCAATAATTCGGAGGACATCAATCCGCCGAGCTCCGTACAGTCCGTCTCAGACGTCTGAAGGTAGACGGTCCAAATGCTCCAAGCAGGCAAGGTGGTTGGTTGACCAACTCATCGACGAACTCATCCAACTTAGCCTCAAGGCCTCGGAAAGGATTGTCAGACCCTCACTTCTACTTCTAGTCACTCAACACAACGAGAAGATAATGCGCCTGCGGTTGCAGACGAGACACTAAAAGGAAGTGCCATGACGAACGATTCAAGCTTCCTGGGATGCACTGAACCACAGCAAGGATCTACGGTCCGACACGAGTGGTTGACGCGCTGGCATGAGTTTAACCCGTTTAAGTGCAAACAAGTCCACTGCCCACTTTGACCTAACCCACATCGAGATACTCCCAGTTGATTCAAGTTTCAGTCAGGAGAGTGTGCACCTTGCTGCCAACGCTACATGCGCAAGCCAAATGCTGCAGCGAGCCAGATGCCACTCACGCAAGCAACATAGGAAGACCGTGACCTAGCTCCTGCATGGACTACAGGAAGTAATGAACTAGTTTTCTTGGTACAGCTGGGGAATGGTCTGGAAACTGCACCATTTCGGAGCACGAACCCATGACGGCTACAGAGCTCTTTGAGAAGCAGGATGCAATATCTCACACTTCCGCCTGGGATGGATCAGCTTGTGTTCCAGAACTGACCAATGCTGGTTCTCGATATCGTACAGCTCTACCTGTCGGTTCCAGCCAATAAAGGTCAATGTGCAGTGTGCGGTGAGTGAGTTCAAACTGAGATCCAGGCTGTGGGCTGGGTCTCAGCACGGCCGAAGACGTCATCACAACCACCAATGGCTGTTAGCACCCTGGAGCCTGCAGGACTGGTCGAGCTGACTATGCTTGGGTTCTAACTCTACCAGGGTATGCTATGAGGCTTATGATCAGGACCCGGCCATTTGTATCGGGCTCGGGGCGGTGCGGGTTACACATTCCAGATACAACGGCCGCAGCCTCCGTTACACGTAGGTTACAGTACCGTTGCAGTTCTCCGTTACACCTCCGTATTCGTTACAGCTTCGTTACAGCTCTGCGCTACAGCTCGCAGATCTGCAGCGCAGCCCTGTTGGGCCAACACCAGTAACAGCCAGCAACACACATGGAGCCCGAGCAATCCAATCGTTGAAACAGAAAGGGTTCCTGATCTTCCGGATCGCGTGACGGAGGGGGTCCCACTACGCTAAAATTTGTAACGAAGAGGGCCCCGACCCCAATCATTGCTGGCGTAGCAGGGATACACAACGCGGTAGGGCTTGTACCCAAGACTATGATCGCCTATGCGCATCCCGGACATATCCCATACTCATCCCCATATTCGGTGGGAACTGCAAAGTCTCTTGATCTTTTCCATCTCGTCCCTAATGATAGGCAGCTGCACGGTGTCTCGAGGCATGTAGCAGCAATGCGGCACTAGCTACACGTGCGCCGATCGCAAGACACCTCACATCATGGTGCAAAAATTCCCGACAGGTGCTCCAACTTGTGTAAGTGGACAGACCCAGACACCGAGACCCGGCCTAGTGCGACCACTCGAGTTCCGGATCTCGCGATCTGCAAGGGTGCTGTTGGTATCCACCTGAACCCCAAAAACACCGCTGCAGACGCAGAGGTTGGCAGTTTATTAAACGAACGGAGTTGTGGAAGCTTGGATGCTTCACAACACAACGAACGGCTGAAGTCTGGTTGAAGAATACATATTCTGAAAATACACTCGCAATGCTATTACGACTGCTGTTATTCCTGCTGTTGACTTTCCTATCGGATGTCCTGTGTTGCTACGGTTGCCTTTCCCGTGCTTCTCCTATCCTACCTTTCGGCCGTCCTTCATTTACCGTGTAGTCGTTCAGTCCTCTTTCCTGCCCTCACAAGAGCGGACAGGATATGATAGTATATCACACCAGAGGGGCGTTCGGGAATACGTGGAAATACGTTTTCAAGATGGGACACGGTGTAGGTGGAACAGCCAAGCGACTTTTCTGAATTCTGAACTTCTAAGTTGCGCACCGATTCTCCTTGGGAAGGTAGATCTCACACTGCCGCAGCGTCTCCATGAAGGACTGTGCGACAAAAGCTTTGCGCTTTGCCATGCATGCTGTCTAGAGCGGACGGAGCGTAGGTGAGCGAAAAGCCTCCTGTAGGGGTGCGTCAAGCTGGAGCGAACATCCGCCGACAACATAGACCTGCAGACTAAAGCTGAAGAGCACTCGCACATGGGGTGTGTGTGTGTGTGTGT